ACTGAATGGTTCCTCATGTTTCCTCCACTGTTTGTCTTTACGTGTCCAAAATTCCTCCAATTCACTGAAACAGTAAACATACTTAGTAGTGGGTCAGCAGAAAGACTGAATGTAGTCAGAACTGTGTCACAGACCTTTTTTACAGCAGACATTTTAAGTTGTCAGCGGAGGGAAACTATAGCTGGCATTACTGATGTCACAGGTCCATCAGTGTCCCAGTCAGCCATGACAGTGAACCAGCAGGAACACTTTCCCTTCTGTGACAAGTTAAAGTATCTGCAGCAAAACATGTCAATTATTGAGCCTATTTACACTTAATTTAAATGATAACACAATGAGTATTAAACAAGCATTCAAACTGAAGGTTATTCCTGGTTTAATGTTGGTGACAGACAGTGATCATTTCAACAAGCTGTTATCATCTTCTGAAGGTTGATTATCATCAATATGGAGTTGGGCTCACCAAATCATGTTCATTTAAGAAATAAGTTAAAATGAAAACAAGCCAAGAGTTGGTTTCACAGCAAGCTACTGTGAGCTAAATCGTGGCAGTTTGCAGAGCCTCATGACGAGTTAAAACATCGTCTGTTTCTCACACTTTGGCAGGTTAACGATGACTGAGCTGTTCAACTGAAGCCATCAGAACTGTTTCAGTAATAAAGACATAAAACTTGATTCACATCCAGAGCTCACGCTATGACAGTCATCCATTATGGATAGAAATAAAGTCTTTGCGACTCCCTTAGTCATCAAACTCAGGGGGTGATGCAAAATCCAGGGGTCTCAGAAGTGCAATCGTACAACTGCTTACTCAGAAAGTTTTGGGATAAACTTTCAAAACTATAAGCAACTGGACAGGAAGGAGTACGTTGGGTGGAATAAATCACTAAAATTATAACTCGCTGATCAGAAAGTAATGAGTTGAACAAAACTTAACTGGAAATAGTAATTTGAGTAAAACAAACTTCTTACTATCATATTTGGAGTACACTTTAACAATCATCTCTGTGAAGATTCTCAGTCATCCAGGTCATGGTTATTCTTGTGGATTAATGGTAGCAAGTGGACTTGCTTGAGTTCCTTGAAGACTTTTCACCTCTCATCCAAGAGGCTTCATCAGTTCTGTCTATTAACAATTATCCATTTCAGTAGGTGGCGCTATCGTGATAAACAAGGATCCCATGACTGCAGCCTCCTCTGCTGCAGTCACAACATATTGGGACCAGCAGGGGAGAGGGTGGGCTTACTGTCAGCTGCAGGTGACCTGTTCACACACTCAAGGTGTGTAAGTCAGTGTCAAGAGGTCTTATTCTCATTTCTGGAGCAGGTCAAGACCCACGTGGCTCTGGGATGACGACAAAAATCATTTATTTCATGGTTAACGGGAAGCTGGAGCAAGCCGAGCTGGGAGCCGACTGCTCTGCTGCAGATGTCAAAGGTAAGACAGAGAGCTGATGCTTTATACGCATTATATCATCATGTAAATGGTAAAACTGAGTAAGAACTATTATTCTCTTTAAACATTCACTTTAATCACACAGAAACCTAGATAACAGGCGTCACATCGTAGCGTTGTGAGCAGGAGTTTCTCATGGTTTCAGGAATGTTCCTGTGGCTGCTGTGTGTGAAGTTCTGACCTCCATGTGGCTTTGACAGGTCCTCAGGTTAAAGAGCTTTGTCCTGGTTGTTCCTCTCATCCTAAATAAACCATGTGACAGCTGGCCTCTCACCTGTTAGGTTGCCAATAACAAGTAAAAGAAAATGTAAAAGACGGGAAACTATGAATGTCAGTAGGTTGTAATGTCTATGACTGGTCCTTAGATCTTCCAGTCATTTACAACAACTTGTGGAAAATAAAGGTTCAGTTCAATATTCACTGTAATAGATTTACGTGATGGTCAAAACCATATGAGATGCCATCTCATCATTAACTGCTCTATGTTCGACGCAAGGATGAGATTTACTTTAGGATAAATACTGCCTGAAAATGTGTATTTATTATATTTTTTAAATGGCACAGGAAATGGAACAGGAGCTGCGACAGTGTTCAGTTGAATAAGCAAAGTAATAATATTCATTATTCAACAACAAGGTTCAGTATTTCACATTCCACCACCAAGTTATACAAAGTAAAAATAAGGAAAAATGGGTCAGACACAATGCATACTATATATTCTAGATTGCAGCATTTGTGATTGTTTTTGTTATAAATTACACTTTAAATATGAAATTAATTGTTCAGTTCTAATTACACTCACAAGTTCATTCTGTCAGCTTGACCACAACTAAAGAAATACAGTAAAGAAATAAAAAATGTCCAATACTTACATTTTTTTTTAGGTATGTCTTTATTAACTCTCTATTTCTGGTTATTCCTTTTTTGTTGTTGTTGTTTTGCTGCTGGTATTATTTGTAATAAACTTCTGTTGCGCTTTTTGAGCCCATTTAACATGGTTCCCAAATAAATATCACTTAAATCAAAATCTTAGCTTACCATCAGTTTTTATCTGTTACCACTTCCATGCAGTTAGAAGGAATTCAACAGCTCATTTGAGATAATAAATAAATCAAATGTGTGCACAGTCCTGATTTTGTTAAAACATTTTAGTGGTGATCAACCTAAGAAAGGAAGCTTTTTCATAATGTTGTGCAGCCAAGGAAAACAGGCAGATGTTACGATTAGTGACGCCACAACAAACGTTACATATTTTAGTTGATAAAGTCATCAAATGCAGTCAAATCTCTGTCTGGCAGATCTGTTTCGAGTGGCGGCGGAGGCAGGGCCGCACCACATCCTGAAGATGTACAACACAAACGGCAGCGTGGTGAACATCTCCCCCCGGCTGGAAGCCAACAGCGTGGACTCGTACTACCGGCTGGAGGTGGTGGCGTCGGATCTGCAGAGTGAGCACCCTCATCTGTGATGCCTTACTTCCCACTAATATATTCACTTTAAATCTCTAAGCATGGTTTTTTTTTTTTAAAATTCTGCAGCACCTAGTAGATATTTGTGTAAACTTTTGTCATAATTAGCTTCTGAACTCTTGAGTTATAGCCACCAAATTAGAATCACCTCATCCTCGAGTCCAAGTCAATAGTTGTGATAAATATCAACAACTTCCCTGGAGGTGTTGAAGAGATATCAGGCTCAGAGAACAGGATGGACAGAAAACGACGGGCAGCTTGAGCAGATGTGAAATCTTTAAGTCCATTCTTCAAAAAGATTTCAATAGCACTGCAGCTGAATTGGTAATTATCCTTTTTTGATGAAAAGTTTCTCTCTGGTCGTTGATTCAACCCCTAAAAACTCATCTGTGTGTATCGAAGTTACATATTTGGACATTTTCCAGGAAAATAATCCCTTTCTGCCTTAAAGTAGCTTCACTATGTGAGCAGACAGGATTTTTCAAGACAGTTTTTCAAGTATGAAAATCAAGAAGTCTGAATCCATATTTTTAAGACTGTCCTCTCTACATAGGAGTTTTAAGGTGGAACTCCTCAGCCAGAGTTTTGAACTTACATCATTCTGCCAAGTCTGGCTTTCTTTCTCTTTTTTGGTTTAAGACATTTAAAATGTTGTGATTTGTTTCTACAAGACTCTTTAATTCTGTTTCTTTCTGCAGGTGTGGCGATGCCGCTGGAGCTGGACAGCATGGAATACAGGTGAGAGCATCACGAGGAAAAATGATTTACCTTCAGAGCAAAACAAACTCACGGTTCTTTACCGTCTGCGTCTTCAGGCTGCGTCACCTGGAGAACAAAGTAACTGAAGATGTGGGAAAGACTCCAGATATCATCTGTGAGCTGAAGACCCAAGTGGAATCTTTCAAGAGAAAGCTGGAGGTCCTTCACACAAACAAACAAATTTACGTTGAAGTGCATTCTAACAACACATTAGTGATTAGTAGATGAAGCTGTCACTGCTGCTGTACAAACAGTCTGCACAATCAGAGCTGAATTTGTGAGTTAGCTGGTTTTGTTTGGTTTCTTTCATAGTTTGACAGACATTGCATTTCATTATATGTGGTAGTAAAAAGGTTTTATTAAGTGTTAAACTCTGTAAACTTGAGACTGCTGATGTCATAAGACACCATTTTCAGAGGATGCCATCTTTACAAAATTGTCTGGCTTCCCTCAGTCTCTGTTCAAAGACTCATGTTTAAGTTAATTTGCAGAATACACCTTAAATATACACATTAAAAGCCTTAAACAGTAACCAGAGTGGCACTGCAAACATTTCATGGCATCGCTCTGAACTGTTGGGAGTCTGACTTACTCCCTTCACATTTCATTTTGATCTGAATATTAAAAGTTTTGCTGTCAGAGCGTGGAGCACCTGAGCTGGATGGGCCTGTTTAGGTACGACTGCGACCAGCAGCTCTCCAAGTCGTCCCAGAAACCCAAACTGCCTCAGATGAGTGTGCAGGAGGAGCACCAACGAGTCCGCATGAAGTTCTTCAACATGAGGTGAACTTGTCATCTGGTTTCTGCGCAAAATAAGATTGAAAGAAGCAGAATCGACCCCCAAACTCTCAGCTTTCTGATGCAGATGTACTGAAATTCACTTTATTATTTAGTTTACATAGGTATTAAGTGTGTCTGTGTGTCCCAGCATGATCAAAATTCACATAAAATCAGCACAATACATTTACAATTTAAGCTGATTTTGAAACTTGTGGTTTAAAGACAGCTTAACCACCACAATCCAAAAAATAGTTGTGTGATCCATGATTTAAAGGCTGACTACAACTTTCTCAGCACCTAGCTGTGTCTTGATACAGCTGACGAACCTTAGACAGCTGTCTTTCATTGACTTTATCTGTGTAGTTAGCTCTTCCAGTGATAGTTGGTCTTACCAGTGCTTTCTTTGACTGTAGTTGTGTTGTAAGCTCCTTCTGTGACTCTGGCGGTTTCCCTCGCTGTCTTCACTTGGCTTTAACTGTGTGGTTTGTGTAGTTACTTGAGTTAGTTGCCAACTGTTCTTCCATCTCTACTGCTGTTGACAGTTTGATGACTTAGAAATGTGTTCAGTTACCTGCAGAAAGATATCAAACGTCAGGTCTTCCATTATTAGCTAATTATCTGGCCCTGTCTTGTGGAGAGGTTCTGTATTAAAGGTCGCTTTTAAGACCGTTCGTACTTTAAAAATTGTATTTATATTGCCATCATGTGGAGAATATATTAAGCCCCACAGCAGACAAACTAGCAGACAAAGTGCGTTTTAGTTCTTACTTTTAGCTCCGTTTTGTACTTGCTGCAAATTTAGAGCGCTGTTCACACAGACACACAATAATCATCATATACACTTATATGGAATAATCATTTCCTACATAGTACTGGTCACAACTATCAGAAGGCCATGTACCGGTTAGAATTCTGCTTTGACCACATCAACAGTTTCTATGTTTTGCCTACTTTGGAGTCTGTTCTGTGTTGCTGCAGCTCGCTGCAGGTGACAGAGGAGGTGCGAGAGCATCTGAAAACTCCCATTTTTGACAACTGGTGGGTACAAAGACACACAGAAAGACACCCTCAGACTCACACACACACACATTCCTGTCACACCAGTGTGTGGTTTTGTTGGCAGGCAGTGGGAGGAGGCAGAGATGCTGGTGCTGCTCCAGGTGATGTACACCGACCTGGACTTCCTGACGGCGTTCAACATGGAGGTGGAGGTCCTGCAGAACTTTCTCTTCGAGGTGTACTGCCACTACAACAACATCCCCTTCCACAACTTCCAGCACTGCTTCTGCGTCACGCAGATGGTACGAACAGGAGGAAGAAGTCACATCCAGAGAGAGTCTGAAATTATCAGCTGAGCGGATCAATGATAGAAATTAGATAAACAATAATACAAACACACAATAACACTGAAATAACTCTTAAGGAAATTATACTTGTCTATCAATTATAACACTTCAAACATCTGTTTCATACATATTTTTAAGGCTGTTGCCATTATTATACTTAACTGTTAATTTATTTCAAAGACTAAAAATGCTAATTATTCAGCATTTGTGGTTGTTATATAACACCTAAGGTGATCTAAACTTTTTCATCAAGGCTTCACTTCATTTAGCGTCCAAACAGAGGTGAATAACACACTGTGGCAGGACGCTGTTAAGCATTAAACCCTATTATCAAAGATGAGGGTATTGGAAATATAAAGTGGATTATATAAAGTTTACTAGGTGTATATAAAGCGGCCACCTGCAACTACAACAGAGTAATAATGGTGATTTTTCATAATGAGCTGCTGAGTTTACTCGTCTCAATGCAGAACTTTTAATTAAGTATTTTTAAAGTGTGCTGCTTAATAATAATTTTTGTATGTCTCACAATATAAAAATGTCTATTTTACAAGGCAAAGTCAAATTAAAAGCAAGTGAAATATTTGGAAAAACTCATCTTCTAAAACATTTAGGATCTCAGATTTCTTAGTGAATATGTGCCAACATGCAGGTGATGTCCAAATATCACACACTGACATATAGATGTGTTATTCATTTTCAACATGGTCCATATTGGATTCTTGAACCATGACTAGTTTGGATTTTCTTGTATTACATGAAGGTCTCCTCATAAATCGAGTTTCTCGCATTATTTCTTGTGCTGATTGTGACTTTGTGTGTTTGAGGGAAACGGTAACAAAATCAGTCCATTAAGACAAAAGGTCTTTTCCTCTTGTGAATGTAGTGAAGCTTTATTGTTTCCCGGTTTTGCTGGCGTGTCTTCTGGCAGATGTACGGGCTGATCTGGCTCACAGATCTCAGGAGCAAACTAGGAAGGATTGACCTGCTGATCATGCTGACCTCGGCTCTGTGCCACGACCTCGACCATCCCGGCTACAACAACGTCTACCAGGTGGCCTCGCCATCGTACCGTCTGCCTGTTTTTATAAAATATGTTTGTCTTACAAACAAGATGCTTCTAAGTTATTTATATGGATTATTAATTTCACACAGATCAATGCTCAGACTGACCTGGCTCTTCGCTACAACGACATTTCACCTCTGGAAAACCACCACTGTGCCGTCGCCTTTGGCATCCTGGCCAAGGTAGAAAAGCATGATGTGCTGAAGGATTTAAAAGGGACGATAAAGAAATTAAAAAACAAGTATGATTGGAAATATTAATAGTATAGAGGCTGGTGGGAAAAGTGGGAGTCCAAATAATACAAGATGTGGGGAAACTAAATCTTTGGAATCAACTAAATTATTCATTTTATTTTTAAATGCGAATGATTTTGTCATCTTACTGCAAAGTGACTTAATTTTTAGAGCTCATTTTTTCACAAGACAAAAAGAAAATCTTGTTTTTAATATTTATATGCAACAACTAAGCTAATATCATCAGCAAAAAGTCACAAACATTGACAGCAGTAGCTACAGACGTGTGAAGTTTGTATGGTTACCTAAATAAGTTATAAAAACCTATTTCATGTCATTTGAAGGTGGTTACCCCCTAAAGAAGAAAAATCTAAAGGCAGAGGAATACTGTTCAAAACTGCATAATAACAAAAAATGTTCTTCCAGCTTTCTTTTTAGTTTGAAGAAACAAATTAAACAAACCTACGTATAAATATAATACATTTAACACCAACAGTTAAGTAATTGCGGTTTGGTTGTAATATCTGTAATTGCACACGTCTATACTGTAATACTTTTTCAGCCATCACAACTTCGACATGTAGTTACAGCATTTTTTTTTTTACTGCGTTCATTCATCATTTATTAACTACATGTATTAATTTGAGACCATCCACACCTGAATACAATATCATTAGAGGACCAAAAAAGAGCCCTTGAGCTCCTTTTAATCAATTACAATAATGAAACAATAATTACTAGAAAAAAATCCCAAACGCTAAAATACAAAACACACATTTAGACTTTCCTGTTTGACACTGTAGCCACTCAACACATTCAAATGTTGCAAATTTACTTTTGTTTTGCAGCCAGAGTGCAACATCCTTAAAAACCTGACCACTGAGCAGTACAAACTCATCCGAGGAGGAATGATCAAGTAAGACTCACATCTCTCTTTGCGTGATGCTGACTGATTTGTTCAGTTTCTAATATGACGTTGTGTTTTCAGATGCATCCTGGCCACTGACATGGCGAGACACAATGAAATCCTCAACAAGTTTAAAGTCCTGCAGCCGGTGTTTGACTTCACCAACAAGGACCACAAGGAAGTGGTGAAGAAACACACATTACAACAGCTTCCTCTCCGTGTTTTCAGTCTTTTTTAGGCTTTCTGATGAGTTATTTTTCAGTTTTCATGGTGTGGTTATAACTCCACATCACATTAAAACCACAAAAATCTCCTTCTGTTTAGGTTACAAATACCAAAATGATTAATTATTGCCATCATGTGGCAACAAGTGGAGCAAACAGGGTTATTACTGCTAAATAAGCATGAATTAAAGCATCCCTGTTGTTGTGTTTTAGCACTTTATCAGTACATAGAACATTTAGTGACACAAATGTAAAGAAGCTTTAAATTAACTCAATTTCTCTGCAAAGTTCCTTTCAAATGTACCACTCATGATTCTCTTATTCGAAGAGATTGTACCAACAAATGTCTTACCGTTGACTCGGACTCTGCATCCTTGTCTGCAGCTGATGAAGATCATGGTGAAGGTGAGCGACATCTCCAACGAGGCGAGGCCGATGGCGGTGGCCGAGCCCTGGCTGGACTGTCTGCTGCAGGAGTTCTTCAACCAGGTTCTTATTGTCCAAACAGGGCTTCCTAAGAGACACTCATTATGGGGAACATTACGGCTGACTTTTAAAGAAGGGAAGGTTCTGTTAAAACCACCTCAAAACAGAAAACAATCAACATAAAGGGCTGCATTTCAAAATATAACACACAGCTTTTGAGATCGACAGCTTGGCGAAATATATCTGGTGACACATAAGAAAATTAAGGCAAATAAAAAACACAAATCTTGACTAAAACATCAGTCACTTTTGGGGAATTTAATTTGTAGAATTTGTACTCTGAAGAGAAGAAATGCAAATATAATATACATAATAAAAATGTTGCTTTTTTTAGAGTTTATTTCTCTAGTTGGAGGATAAAGTGGATGATCTGTGAGATGGATCATTCCATATTAGATCAAGTCAAATTGAAAAACCTTCTATCCTTACCCCCAGAATCAGCACATCTCTACAATCGACAATAAATTTAGCATTTATAATAAATTAATGAATGCTTTTACCCTCATACTATGAATATTTTCAGTTCATTTTTCTGTAACCAACTTTAAGCATCAGTATTATGGGATATGACAACGTCTCAAGAGCAGAATCACCTTTTGAATGTATCTAAACTGATAAACATGTGTACTTTTGTTCTGTGTTGTTGTGCAGAGCGACACAGAGAAACTCAAAGGGCTTCCAGTGACTCCATTCATGGACCGAGACAAAGTGTCCAAACCGTCCTCTCAGACCAACTTCATCCGATTTGTTCTCCTGCCGCTGTTCAGCGAGCTCACCAAACTGTTCCCCTGTCTGGAGGTAAACGCTTTAATTCACCGATTCGGCTCTTTCATCGAGTCGTGTTTGCTGAATCACAGCAGGAGAACAATACAGGCTTCACGGCTCTGAAAATGACAGAACTGACTACATACAGTCGAATTAAGAGCTGAACTAACTGGTCAATGTAGGTCTGTGGTTTATCAGGACATCAACAGATAAGTGATCTGCAGCGATCACTAATACCCAAAAAACACGAGTCCAGCTGCTTATTTCTTAAATGCATAACTGGAATGACATTTAATAAACCAAAATAAGGGGGGCATTTGCAATCTGTTGCTGTTTGACAGGTCAAATGTGACCTCATTATTATTGTATATTTACTATATGACCACTTTTGTGAATACTCTCTAATATGTAGTTAAAATCTTTCTGTTCAGATGTGCAAAGTATAGAAAAAGCAAACAGCGACTTATGTAAATGCATCTGCAGCAGATTTATCAACGCTGACTGAACTGCAGAATGATATTAAATTCGTTTTTTGTGTGCAGCAACATATTCTAGAGCCGGTGCGAGGAGCCCTGGAGTATTACTCTAACCTGGAGAGAGCCACCAAGGAGGAGGGGGCCACCGCCAAACCGTGAAGAGGAAGAGGAGGAAGAGGAGGAAGAAGAGGAGGAGGTGTCTCATTCAAGTCTAAAAGCAACAGTTGCATTGAGCAGCAGTGTGCAAGAATGATAGCTAGAGAGGAATTTAATGCATTTGGCAAAAAAATGTTTGATTAGAGGATTCTGTAGTGTCTTCAATAAATACAAATATGTGGGGTAAAGTTGACTTTTTGGTGCTTTTTCTTGTTTGAAATAAGATTTCTTCTTATACATGAGGAGTGAAGACGGTGACTTTTCCACAGTTGTTGGAATATTACTCACTAGACTAGTGGGGGTACTTCATTAGGAATCGTTATTGAGCTGATCTGGATGGATGTCACCTTGGAAGCTTTGTCATGAAGTGAAAAAGCTCAGAAAGTTTTACATTTTTACTACAGCCTGAGATGACTGTTGAAGTACTCAGACACTGCAACAAATGTAGATTAAACCGCTGCTGGAAATAGTCCTGAATAAAAGGAATGTGAGCAAGCAGCTGTTTTAGCCTTTATTGAATATGAAATTGTGTATTTATGAAGTGTTTTAAAAGAGGAAGTCCAGTGGAAGTCAGGCAGTAAAGTGGCACGAACAAACTCTTTTTTTAAATGGGTTGAAAATGAGGAAAAGCAGAAAAACAGCAACATGAATCGAAGTGATATGTAGTGCTGACCTCTGTCGATTTAAAAAGATAGTAAAGTATTTAGCAAATACTCTAGAATAAAACTCCTGAACACAAACAATAAAAACGCATTAAAACTGGACCTTTAAGATTGACTAACAATCTAGTTTTCTACTTAGCATTTAATCAGTGCGTCTCTTAAATTGTGTTCGCTTCTGCTGTGTCAAAAAAAAGATTCGCCTTTAGTCACCATCTGAAGGTAAATTGAGAAGTTTATTTTTCAGTCACTTAATTTACAAATCCAAAAACAAAAGTGCAAATGTGTGATTTCTGTCCGAGCAATGCGTCCGATAAATACTTAAAGTTAAAAATAACAAGGGCTCAACATTAGTGTGTTTCAGACAAAACGGGAAGAAAAAAAAAATACAATAAATCTTCAATATATACAACAGTTTTTTCTTCAGTACATTCTCTTGGCATTTTAAAAGCAAAACAACACGGAGTGACGATTTTTTTTTTGATGCTAAACTCCCTCAAAAGTTTGCGGTCTTTGTGAAGCGTTAGCAGCTGGGAGCTCGAACCCATCGAGGTTATTTTTCACCACAACAAATACCACGACACAGGAAACGACTGAGGGGAGAGAAACACTGAATGTGCAGTTTCTTTTTTCCCAGATTCTTGATTTTTAAAGCGCTGCAAATGACCTTCATTGAAATATTAGCATCTTTAAACACACCTTCGTCCTTCCCAGGTACTTTTCTTCATTCTAAAGACTCATCTGCAGCTGCCGGCTGTTTTAACTTCTCCTTAATATTTAGCTTGTAGTGTCACACACAGCGGAGGTACAGTTTTAATGTTATTTTTTGTCATTTCAAGTAACAGAAGCTTATACAAAGTACCATTGCTTCCTCAGCTGAAACCTGTTTAACTGGTGTCAGATATGTCGACTTCACGCTACATTCAGAAACAATGCTTTTAAAGGCTCCTGCACACGAAACTTGGTCAAATATTTATTTGTAAATCCAGAGCAGCAGCCTGAGAAAACACTTTGGATCGCACATTTAGGAGCCCATCCATCCATCCATTATCTATACACCGCTTAATCCTCACTAGGGTCATGGGGGGCTGGAGCCTATCCCAGCTGAATCCATCCATCCATCCATCATCTATACACCTCTTAATCCTCACTAGGGTCATGGGGGGCTGGAGCCTATCCCAGCTGACTTAGGGTGAAGGCAGGGGACACCCTGGACAGGTCACCAGTCTATCACAGGGCCACACTTAGAGACAGACAACCAAGCACACTCACATTCACACCTACGGACAATTTAGAATCACCAATTAACCTCAGCATGTTTTTGGACTGTGTGGGAGGAAGCCGGAGAACCCGGAGAGAACCCACGCTGCACGGGGAGAACATGCAAACTCCACGCAGAAAGATTCCGGTGCCCCAACCGGGACGCGAACCGGCAACCTTCTTGCTGCGAGGCAACAGTGCTACCAACTGCAGCCCATTTAGGAGCCAATTTGCTGTTTTCTTTTTTAACTTTACTTTTCATTTGAGGCAGGCAAGGGTTAATAGAGGTGTTTGCTTTTCCTGGAAACCACTTTGTAACGGATGAGACTTGACAACCTCTTGTGTTTTGCATCTCTGTTTACATGTGACCATCAGAAAAGCAAGAAATTAGTCACCTTAAAAGATACAGACTGAAACTAAAGTGGCACTGATCGGACTTGTTCTTTAATCTTGTGTGTGCAGGAGCCTTTAGTTCAACAGCAGCAGGTTTCATGATGTAAATAATGTGAATAACTTACCCTCTGTGTCTCTGTAGTGAGTCTGATTGACTGGAGTCACATTTTAAGGCTCTGAAACAACTAAATTAGCACAAGATACCCAAAATCCAATAAAAAATGAACATGGATACAGGCAGTGTTAATATAAATATGGCAGCAACACATAAAACAAGAACAACACAAAGTGCAACAAACTCTTTGTCTTTAAATAAAATCAGCCTCAGAGGCATTCACCTCTGCTTTGTTCAATTTCACAACTGGTCCCGTTTCTTAAAGCATGACGCACATGCGCTGTTTTACCACAGATTACAGGATTCCTACAGTTTCTGATTCTAATCTGGACTTTTCACAGATTTTCGTCTCCAGATTTTGTGTGTTGTTTAACAAAGAGATTAGATTTTTTTTGGGGGGGGGCTAATGCTGATATCAATCATCTTAACTGTTAGTGAATATTAATTCATTCAAAAAGGTGTCAAACAAATGAGAGTTTTATATCTGTGATCTTCTGCATAAAGCCTTTTTGTAGATTTTATTTCTCAAGTTGGAATATTTCATTTTGTGGTTGTGAGCCCTATGAAGCCAATTTGATCAAAACTTTTTCAAGACATCAGGGCTGAAACCTATTAGAGTTAATTGACTAACAGGAAATTAATCAGCAGCAATTTCTATAATCGATTGACTGCTTAAGTCACTTATGATCAAAGAAAATAACCGTTCTCTACTTCACTTACTTCAAGTGAAGTTATTCTACCTGAAGTTTTGACGAGACATTTAAAGATGTATGAAACTTGTAAATGTATTTTTGACATATTATAGATGGAAAACTGATTGGCTAGTTTGAGACTTTTCGGTCAATCATGTGACAGTAAGGCATCGAACCAGTTGTCAGCCTGGAAGCCCCACATCACTAACGGCTTCAGAACCAGGTAACAGGACCCAGTCATTTCCTTCTGAATATCTGCAGTATCAATCTGTTTAGACTGGAATAAATGGGATTACAGGGAGAGACCTGAATGTTTTAAAAGTCAGAATATTCAAGCTTTCAGAGAGTCCACAGGTACAAACTTACATTTTCTATTCAAGCATGTCATCTTTGTCTTAATCTCTGGAACAGAAGATTTAGGTTTAGTGAAATAAAACACACCTTTTCGAAATGAGATAATATTTCTTTGCATTTTCTGCTATGATTTCTAGCACCATGTGTGACTCGTGTCAGTTTCATTTTAGCATAACAAGAGATGATCAGTTATCAAACTAATTAATCTTCTAACAGACTTGCAGCAACTCTGTGATTCACTCACACTTAACCACAACGCTGCCCTCAGGTAGCAAATACTGTCTCAGCGTCAGTATTTCCCTCCATGGCGGCTGTTTTAAACGTTTAAATTGAACTAGCAGCAATAGACAAATGACTGTGGATGGCGGCTACAGCTGCTACTGTTTAAGCTGAAGAAATAAAGGTGAATAACAGAAAGCTGAGAAACAAATGTGCTAAACTCTCAGCACTGTTGGCAACTCCTGATTGGCATTTTACTTTGCACACAACTGCAGGAGCGTTCTGTCTGAGTTACACTGGAACACATGGAGCTTGTGGTCACTACAGGGGTGGGACTTGCCTGTTAGAGGGTGGGAGGGACTTTTCACAGGTTGCAGTACAGTAGCATTGCACCGGTTTCTGCTCTGGTTGTTTTTTTTTTTTTTGCTTTTTTTTTTATTTACACCTCCGGAAGAGTAAAGATCTTCTGTCTTGCTAGTTGAACATGATGGACTCTGGATCCTGGTTCATCATTTGGGCCATGTGTCGCAGAACGTCCTTCTTGGTGATGATGCCTAAGAGACGCCTGCATGGACACAAACAAAGGTCAGCGGTCACGACTTAAGTTTCATGTTACCTGCATGCAGCCAGCATAAGGTGGGCACTAGGACGCAGCACAAGTGTCTTCATTTAGACGTTGTACAACAAAACACAGCAGCATATGTTTCCTGACAGTCCACCAGCATGTTGTCTCTGCTTCTAATAGTCACTAAAGTTATGTAGCCATTGTGCTGAACAAAAGCAAATAAAGTTTCTCTTCTTTCCTCAACTTCTGCTTCAAAATGTGTTTTTATTATTACTCAGAGCAGCACAAGCTGGTGGCAGAAGTCATGTAGTACACCAACAAACGCCACACAAGACACCAAATTATAGTTTAAATCGTAGTTTGGATCACAAACATTCGATGCGTAGAAATGAACCTCAACTGCAAATTAACCTGTTAACGGAATTAAATTGAATCACACTTAAAAAACATAAACTGTGGCGTCCCTGATGGCATAAGAAAACATTTTACAGTCGGAAAATCAGCAAAGTTAAACCATCTTATAACCATCACCTGAAGCTCCACATGTGCAAAAACAAACAGAATATCTTTGGGTTTTCATAGTTTTTTTTTTTGGCAATTGAAAAACTGTTAAAAGAAAGAATTACATGGAGTCTTAATGAAACTCTTAATAATCAAAGTTAAGGACCAAAACAAAAGAATAAGGAGCTCTTGGACTGCTTTTTAACAATTTGAATAGAATATCGTTGGCTTGAATAAAACTTTGATAAAACCCAGGCTCTGGCAAATTGTGATGGACATTTTTAAAAAATATTTTCCAGAAATTCTACAGAATTAACAATCCGAATAAAGAGAGAATAAGACAAACAAATGAGCAGTAAAAATACGAGCTCATAATTGCAATTAACTTTTTGAACTATAAGAAATGCTGATATCCTCTGAACTGTAAATTTATACTTTTGAATAAAAACATGTTGGGAAAGAAGGAAAATTAGTAAAGATCCAATAAGCTTACCAATACATTTAAAACTAACGGTAAAAAGCAACTGTTTTATGTAAGTCACATTGTAAATATCTCAAATATTTGCTCAACTGTTAGTTTACTGCATGCAACAGTAAGATTTTTGTGTTCACAGCATAAAAGTATCATCTCTTACCCGCTCCTGGTCACCAGACACTGACGGAGGCCCAGCTTGCGGAAGATGTCCACCACCGTCTCCATGGGCGTGTGGTCGGTGACGGTGAAGGGGCTGAGGTTCAGGATGCGTCGCAGCTTCAGAGGCTGCGGGTTGCTGGCCAGCAGCTGCGGCGCGTCCTCAGTGAAGTAAACCACCGAGCTGCTCACCACGCCGTCCTGCTTCTGACGGGCGTTTTCTGAGGACAGACAGGAGGGGACGGTCACAGCATCAAAATGAGTCAACCATATATCACACATGCTGGCTGTCTCAGTGGTTGGAAAAACATCCATCTGACAACATCCAAAACTAAACTTGTACTTGTACTCAGGCTAGTTGATAAAGAAGTCGCAACTCCAGATTTCTGTACTGTTGAGCTCAGATACACACAAAGAAGACTCCAGAAATATTTATAATTCAAGCATCCTTTGTGCCAGACTGATCATTATCCTGCTCTGTAAAAGTGTTTGATAAAGTCAATGAGACAGCTACCAACACAAAATAAACTGTCACTATTACTTCCAACTTTTCTATTGTAATCACAAGTTCTGATGCTTATAATTTATGTTACTATCCGTATTGTATCTTATTGTGTTTTTTTATCAAACAATAAATAATGCCCAGTACAATATGTATGAAAATCTACAAACTTCTAGCAGGTACAACCACTAGAGTTACAATTGTTGGGAGAAAATATGGAAATCTACACATAAAACTGCACGACAAGTCTCATCCAAACCAGGTTTATGTCTGGAAAGTAGAGTCTGAAAATGAAAAATAGAGCAAACTAAAAAAAAATAAAAATTGTTATATTTGGAAAAACACTGTGAAACTCTTGGACTCTGTTCCACTTGGGTTAAACTATAGACGGGTGTTTTGTTTTTGCGGTACAACTTGATATCAAGTTAAATTTCACAGTTTTTAAAAGAATATATATATATTTTATCCTATACATTTTTCAGGTAAATCAGGTTCTAAAAATGTAATGATTTGAGATAGAACGACCCAATAAACTGCAGTGAAATATGACAAGTCAGCAAAAAGCCATGTTGGGATGACGGTAGTGAACCTTCATTACTCATTCTTTCCCTTTTAGCTTCACATGTCTCATATTTGTGCCTCTTTTTCATCTTTTTGACTTACTTCACAAAGGTTTCTAATCCTTCCTAATTTGTATTTCTTCAATTTTATGACAAAAAGAAGACAGTAAATATGTGTGTGAGCAGGTACGTGTATAAACGCAGATCTCTATCTGCTCCTGCAGGTGTGTCCTTTCTGTGTCTGTAAGCTTTTTGCAGTTTTTCTTTTTAAAGCTCTGACTCATAGAAAAGACCGCACTGCGTGAATGAAAACTCACTGATAGCGAGCGTGAGGTCCCGGCGCTGAACGAAGCCGATGAGCCTCTCCGACTCTCTGGACACGACCACTGGGAAGCCGTTATAGTCTGTGTCTTTGATGAGCGTCTCCACGTCCTCCACTGTGGTGGAGTCCTGGGTGAGGACGGCCAGAGGGGGGTCGTTCCTGCGGGGCCGCATCACGTCAGTGGCCAGGGTGCGGTGGGTGAACTCGTCCCGGACGTCCAGGTAGGGGTAGCCGTTGAGCTGGATGTGCGACTCGTAGATGCCCTCCTTCCCGAAGGCGTCCGCCACCCACTTGCTGGTGACGGCGGCAGCCATCAGGGGGACGATGTACTCCAAGCCGCCAGTGAGCTCAAACATGATGACCACCAGAGAGACAGTCATCCTGGTCACACCGCCTGAGTGGAGGCAAAAACTTTAATACGGCAGAGGCTCCGCAGGGTGTTGCACTGAAATCATTTATTTTTACTATCATTTGTTGACAATTTGCTGTTTATAGATTGTTTTTTAAAAGTTGCTAAAAAAAAAAAAAAGCTCTTTTACATCAAGTGGAGGTGGACACTTGAGGGCATCACCTTGATTCAATGGACATTTTTCACTATTTTTATGAATTAAATGATGAACTAGAAAGAAAAATAATGAACCTTTGATAAACTTAACAGCTTGTGGATCACACAGGGTTGCTACAGAGATTAACAAGATGAATTGACAGCAAACACAAAGTAGTTTAAAACCCACTTAATGATCATACCAGCCAAATTATGAACATATGATGGAACACCTAGAGGGCCCAGAAACATTTATTGTTATATTCTGATTTTTTTAGTTCTTCCCAGCGTGATATGACAATAATTCCTGACATGAAAGTCGTCAAATCACTTCGACTTGGATGGTGTCAGTAAACTGTGGTTCAATTTAAGTTAAATTCTTGCTTCTGCTGCTGCAGCATGATGATGATAAACAGCTTTGTGCATCATTTGAGCTCACAGGTGTCTCCTGACAGCCTGCAACAAACATTACTGCAAACAGAGGGTCACTGAAATCTTAAAATCGAACTGAAATTTTAAGCCTCAGCTCACGCCCAATCCCTGAACAACCTCCGTGTGCAGAGGAAGAATCCCCCCGTTAGCATCACTAGATTTAGTCTTCACTCAGGGAAACTCTGAAGTGTGTTGTTGCTCACCCAGACAGGCGGCAGCTCCCACCATGGCGTAGAGTCCAGGTGTGACGCAGTCGGCGCCGGGCCGGCACCAATTCTTGAAGATGATCCAGTCGTGGTGGTGGTACGCCATCTGCTCCACGGCGATCCCAACGATCCGCCCTGCGATGGCACCAACTGCCATGCTGGGAATGAAAAGACCTGACGGGATCTGAAGAGCACACAGAAGCAGGAGTCTGGTCAGGTGGTACAAAAAAAACTAGACAAAATATTAAAAGGATGCAGATACTCAGTAAAGCAAATTAAATATCTTTCAATCAAGTCTGAAATGAGACGATGCATTTCTGCTAATAATGTCACTTTAATTCTGCAGAATATGTAAAAAAACAAATGTCTTCTTCATCATCTTCCTCTTACTGACCTTCATGCCGAAGGTGAAGATGGTGATGACGATCTTGAAGATGAGGGCGAGGGCGAGCTGCCACAGGGCGTTGTAGACCCCGGGCCCCGCTGGTCGATCTGGGATGTCGTCTACTGGCCGACTCATGTTGGGGTTATTAATGTAATCACAGAGCTGTGACGACTCCAGTGCGCCGCAGTCGTTGAAGAGCTCCGAGATGAGTTCGCTGGTGCTGCGGCGGGTGTATGGGTTGGGGTACGCCAGCACGGCGGTGATCCCCGTCACTGCGATGACCTCCAGGACCGGATACTTCCCCAGCTGGGTGGTCTTCCTCCGCCGGCACCAGGCGATGTTGGCCCGAATGAAGAGGGTCCCCCAGAGGCCGCCAAACACACCCAACAGGATGAAGGGCACCAGCTCAGCCATGTACCACGGAGTGTGGTACTCCACGTAGAACAGCACCAGGCGGCTGTTTCCAAACGGGTTGATGGAGCGCAGCGTGAAGGCGGCGACCAAAGCAGCGAAGAACGAACGCCACAGAGTCTTTAGGGGGAAATAATAGCTGACCTGCAGGAAAGATGAATGACGAATTAAGTTAGGAGAGACATCGAAGTGTTTCTGAGAGAATTACACAGAAGAAACATTCACACATAAAGGCAGCAGCAGACTATGTCTACAGAGAGACTCCTTTAGGATATTCCTAAAGTAGGCAGGCAGTTTATTTTATTCAAAGTGCTTTACAGGTAAAGGTGGAAAACTCAAAACACGTGAAAGACAAACCACAGTAAGAAAAAAAGGAGAATTACAACTAATACTGCAGCAAAACACAAAAAGTCAGAAAAAGAAAAACATGCAGAAGATGAAATGTGTAGAAAAGAAGTGAATTTAAATTAGGAGAATATAAAGTGCAGCCAGGTTAGACAAGACTCCATAAAATAAAACTCATAAGTTAACAGCAGTGGCATAAAGAGCCTACTGTAAGTAATAGTGACATTTAGGGCAAATCAGAAGTTCTACTTGTAGCATAATGACTAAACACCACTTCATTATGTCTGGGACGAACTTCTGGCAACAATGACCAACCAGTATAAAAGAGAATCTATTGTTTATTTAAAAAACATAAGGACAGTTTTCTGGAAAGTCAGGACACTTTATGAATGATAACATTTTAGAGAGTGGGGACATTTTTGGAAAGTATAGATTTTTTTTTTTTAAAGTGGGGATTCTTAAAGATAAAGAGATAAAAAGAGCTGCTTGAGAAAGAGACAAAGCATCCTGCATCCAGATGAGGATCGAAGAAATGATGAACAGAATGATTACAAATTGAGCAAAAAGGTGGCTGTGACTGAATGAATGCAGATGAGTCACTGAGTTTTCGAACCAACCTCTTCCAGACTGAACAGAACTCCTCCGATGGGCGCTCCGAAGGCCACCGACACTCCAGCTGCTGCTGCTGCTGATAGCACCTGGAGGACGCACAAAACAGAAATACAAAAGTCACGTTGTTTCCTATTAGTCTGTTGGCATTTCATCAGATTTGTTCTTTGCAAACAACTCAAACTATATCTTGTTTTCTGCGCAAATAGCCGGATGCTAGTGACTCACCTCTCTCCGCTTGCCCTCGTTCTTGCTGTATTTGGAGAAGAGGCTGCAGAATAAGTTTCCGCAGCAGCAGGCCACGTGGACCAGAGGACCCTCCTTCCCCAGACTGAGACCAGACGACACCGCAAGCACCAGGGTAACCGTCTTAATCAGCAGGGTCCATTTCCCCAGGTAACCCCGGATGATGAAGCCGCTGAGGATCGTCTTGATCTGCAGAAAACCACAAACAGCAAAACAACTGTGATATCCATTAGGGTTAGATGTTAATCAATTTGGTCAGAAGGTAGTGTTGTTTTGTTGCACATTTTATCATAATCTCCATCGAACACTCCAAAATTGAGCTCATATTCCCGTTTTTTCTTTCCCAAAGAGTTTGGCAAAAGGTCCTTTTCGATTTTACTTATTCCATCATATCATGTCGAGGTCTGTCTTCGCCGCTTTGATTTACAAAGCAGTGATCTACCTTCCAAAGATCAAACACCTCAGTTTAAACTTCAAATCACAGGTTATCAAGCTCAGTAGCAGCGTCTCATCAGTCTGGATGTTACCTCTGGGATTCCTGATCCGCAGGCGTACGGAGCGAACACTCGCACCAGCGAAACCGCCAGGAAGGAAAACAGCAGAGCCCACAGAATGTACAGGAAGTAGTTCAACACGTACGCTCCCGCTCCCTGAAAGAAGAAAGTCGCGTTTAACAGCCACAAAAAACACTGTTCTGCTACCGTCAGTAAATCCTTCACTCACTGTCTCACTGTTCTCTATATATTGAACAGTTCCCACCTTGGTAAGCAGTTTTATTTATCAATCAAGTGATTTTTTTCATTAACACTGAATACAATCAGTGAGCTCTTTTTGTTTTACTGTGAGAAATCTGAGGGAATTTTCAAGCATAAATGTCGATTCTGGCATTCGTAAAATGGTGTACGGTAAAGTTAATGGGATTGATTTAGATGCACAACATTCTTATTATTGTCACAACTGAATGTTAAGACCTCAGCGACTCTTCTCAGTTTATCTTTCAGTCTTTCAGTAATCTTTATTGTACCATGATGTGCTTTTATTTTATCTGTTTAACCTTTTGAACTCCAAAACATTTTTTTTAATTGCCAAAATTGCACCATTAATCAGAATCAGCGACTGTAAAAGAGAAATAATTGCAGCATTTTCAAGTTTCATCTGTAACATGTCATTCTGTCAGAAAACTTAACGAATCTAAGTTCAATAAACACAGTATTTAAACCAATAGAACTTTAATCAACAGGTCTCATTTAAGAATTTGGCAAAAAAAAAAAAAACTGTTGACACTAAACAGATTCAGTAGAAAACTTAAAACTCTGCGCTTCTCATCACAGTGAGAATATAAGTGATTCTGTTGTGAGTGACCAACAGTCGTTTAACAAAAATTCAGGGACTCTGTGGTCACTTGGAAAAATGTTGCACATGTTGATTCCCAAGTAATCAAAAATTTTCAGCTTAAGGTTGTTTATTCTGATTTCTGTCTTTCTAATTGTGTGATATCGCCCTAAACACATTTCTGAGTTCTCTCTACTTCTACCCATGGTTGTTCTGTTTCCATAGAGGTGCTGGACTTTATACTGCAGTGAAAAATGAGCCCACAGTGAGTAAAAATGTGACAGGGGCTTAAAACCACCCAGAAACTGCTTCAGAGGGTTAGCTTATCTACACAAAGCCTCCAAGCCCATCCTGATAAGAAAGAAAACAAATGAATACTAATGCTGAGTAACTGTGCAGCTGGAGGTTGAATTCCTCATGCCCATATCTGACCTCAGCGTGGCCCGTCATCAACTCGGCCCATTTCTGCCACTGCGGACACTTGTCCCGGTCGTCGAATGTCGTCTCGTTGGAGGTCCAGCAGCACTGCTCGTGGCTGTACCAAAACGCCGAAAGACACACGCCCTCCTTCAGGTCAGTCATCCAGTCCACCGCTAGGTCGATCACGCCAGCCAGCGTACCTGAACAGAGCAGGAGGCGTCAGGACAAACGAAGCCACGCAAAGATTCTCCACCCAGATGATGAACTGGCTAGAAGCTATCACATCAACTTTTTGAGGTGAGTATTTTTGTCTCCATAAAGCCTCTCATCCTATCAAGCTTCCATTTTGTTCCTTGTCAAGGCTTTAAAATCAAAACAGTTAGTATGCAGTGGAAGTCAATAAAACCGCTGACAAATAGACCTCTGCTTTGATCAATCAGTCAAAGTTTCATCTTTGTACTTGTTAATTATTATTTAGTTTCTACAAAGCTCCACATTCCTCCAAATTTTCACAGTCGGCTTAAAAATTTGACCACTTTGTCCCGAGCTAAATGTATCCTTCTTGCCTTCAATCAATTAAAAAAAAGCATTATCTACTTTTCAGCGCATACTGATATTTCTGGTGATGACACACATTTACAGTGATGTAGTTTAAATTCTAACAGAAGATCTAAACACACATGTAAATCAAATATATTGGCAGCATCATCATAAATTCAGAATAACAAACATATACAGGCTTTTCCATGACTTCTTAAGATGGGAAACGTTCTGTACTGTATGTAAAAAGTGGCAATTCAACATGAGCAAAAGGAGTTCAGAAAACCTATTAAACCTGAATGCTGTGTGTAAAAATTAAACCCTCACAACTGAAGTCACAGCTCTAGTGTTTGAGTGTGTGACAGTTTCAAGTGCTACAAAACTCAGAAATGTGACACTCTGTTGTGACAGCAGATGTGGCTTGGAAACAACTCATTAAACAAGCGAATTTGGAAGCAGTTCATTCACTGCATTTGCTCATTTCATGCCCCTTTTTGCTGATGTAACAGAGTTTATGCATTTGAGCAAACTACCAAAAGTCAGGAAAGGCATGAACATCTTAGTGAAAACACAAACCACAGTAAAAGTGTGCAATAAATAATGACAAAAATGAGCAGCCAGGTACTGTCAGGTTTCCTTGTGCACATGTTGTGTGTCTTCAGACTCACTAAAAGGACATATAATAAAAAACACAAATAAATAATGCACAGAAAAATGAAAACAAAAGCTTGCTCACCGGGAATCACTCTATAAGTAAAAATTCTGAGGTGGTTTGACCCTCATATTTAATTTAGTTGGGTGAAGCTGTATTTTATATCATTGCTTGTACAGGGTTCCTACACATTTGAAATTTTGAAATTCCATACTTTTTCCAGACTCTAATTTCCAAAAACAAATTCAAATAGTGAACTTAGCTCACTTGATGTTGTCGGACTTGGTCTCATGCTGGGTTTAGCCAAAAACGCTGTGACTCTCAGTCAGAGGATGCGGTGACAAGACGAAAATGTTTTTCCCCTGTATATGACTCACAACCGCCGCCTCCCCCATGTTGGACATGTCAAACGATTTCACACAAAGTCTGCATTTAGCTTTCTTTATCCATTCGGGATCGATCCAACCAGTCTTTATGTTTGGGGATCTATGAGCCAGTCGTCAGAGAATGTACAGATACCCATTATGAGTTCTGTCAACGACCATACAAGACATTTTGAATCGCTCACTCACAAACTTTGAGGACATCACCTGTGTGTAGAAGCAGCAGTGAAACTTGACGACACCTGGGCGGGCCAATGGGTTGGAAGAGGATAAGAGCAGAGGGCGGGCATTCAACTTGTCAATCTGCCCAAATGTTTTCTGGGACGCATAACCATGGATCTATTATATATCAACACGTAGCGTACTGTGTGCTCTCACACAAATATTTTAGCTGCGCTGCTAAGGGCCTTAAAAACAGATCGATCCTTTTTTTTTTTTTTTAGATATTCATAAATTTATGTTTTAGAAAATAGAACATGGTAATAGTCTTGGAAACATGAATATTTTCCCATACAATAGTTTCTATTTTCCATACATTTTCAGACCTGGAAATTTATAAAAATCAAATTCCATACTTTCCATACTTACCTAGGAACCCTGCTTGTTGGTAAATTCATATCATATATAACACTGTAGCGTCGTAGCCTCACTATTTAAACTTGGTAGGTTAATTCACAACGCCAATCTTATCTTTATACTGTAAAGAACTTTGGGGCAACAGCTCTTGCTTTATTTATGTGATATAAATTCCGGAGAGTTGACTGGACTTGACAGAATAGTTTCGAACAGTCTACCCCAGAATCCTCGGGGACTTTAGGGTAAACGCTCCTCAAAGTCCTTGGGTCAGTGAGTCTGGAGACTGATTGGACCACAGTGACACTGAGAGACTGACCTGAGAGGAGGCCGATGAGCAGCATCACCACCCATCCTGACCAGGCATCCAGCAGGCTCTTGATCAGCTCCCAGATGGATTCTTTACTCTTACTGGTGATCTGGTGGACAAACAAGGAGGGTACACATATAATGTCAATTTACGTCATTTATTTAGTTGTGACTAGCAGCACACAGAAATTTTACACGGGAAACCATTTTTTTGGCCTCTTTCTATTTCAAAGTGTCACTCAGTAAGGCAGGTACTGTTAGTGAGTTCACCTGTCTGCTTTTCTGTTGTGATGGGAAACACCTCACCCTCTATCCCAGACTTATGACACTCCTCAAGCCTTCATTCAGGTTTCTACATCTTAACAGCACAAAGATAACCTGCACTAACTTTGCGGTGGCGGTCTGTGTCTCTGGATTTCTCCCTCAGCCAGTCGATGGTGTGGAAATCTTCATATGTGCCCACGTCAGGAAAAGGCTCGTCCAGGAAGTCCATCAGATTTCCAGCTCCATTCATCTCCTCTGTGGGCGTGGCAGCGCTGACACCTGGCCAGGTGAGAACATCATCAAACTCAGGTGTACAACTTGAACATCATCCATTTTACCTTGTAACAGTGAAACAGCTTAACTTCTGGAAATAACAGATGCTAAGGAGGGGCACACTATTTTCAGTTTTTAATTAAGCTGTTTTCTTTTTAAATAGCAATCTGATGAAACGACATAACTAACGACCCAGAAAGAATGACACTAACACTGACTTTATTTGTTGATAATTGTAATCCCTGATTGATTTAATCAAAGCTACATCAAAGACAGAATGAAAACAAATGTTGATGACACTATGTGATTTAAAAGCTTTAAACCAGCAGCAATTCAATGTACCGGTAGCTTAAAAAAAAAGACGCCATCATCGCATTATGTGTAACATGGATAAAACATTAAACCTAAATTATGTTCTAGTGTAACAAACGAAAACAGAAAAATGATTTAGTCGCAGAGAAACACTGCAGCAGCTTTATTTACGTTAGCAGCTAAAGCTAACTTAGCATCGCCTCTTGATGCTAAATTAGCTCGTCTTTTACCTTCGCCGACCTCCATGTTACAGTCCGGCCTCACGACTGCGGATGGAAAACGTCTGCAAAATTCTGAACTTAAATAAAGTCGAGTAAACGGGACATTTTATACGACATGCACAGTGAACAACAAATAAACCGATGGGAGACAGCGTCAGTGTTCAACCTGTCGATCTCACGATACTTTCGTGATCTCGCGTTGGTTGTGCCCAAGTCAAAGATCGTCTATTAAGCAGATGAGTCACACCCTAGGTAGAAAGAAATTGCGGTGGAAGAAATACTCACATACTGCAGATAACTTACAAGTGGCACTTTGATGGGTTGTATTACACATGCTAATATATTAAATGATAATTACTACTCATGCATTAATTCATATGAAAACACTCTGTAGATTGAACAGAAAGCAGAGATGATCTGACACTTCACATTATGCTCATTATTCATTAATAATGGCTGATTTTATCCAGATACTGGTTGTGAGCATCAGCAACTTTATGCTATTTTACTTAATATATTTACCTAAAATACTACCTTTTATTTTGTCTCCTAAAATGACCAGAACTTTCAAATTCAGCTCCAAGGTCAGGTGTTCCCACAAAACACTGGGCTTCACCTGTAATAACTGCAGCTCACCTGTGATGATGATTGTAGCTCATCTATGACAGATCGCTGAGTTAACACAGTCTCTCCTGCAAACACACAGCTCTTATCCATCACACAGTACAACCAGAGGGGCGTCTCATGGTTTCAGACTCATTCTGCAGCACGACAACGAGCTCAAACATCCAGCAGAACATCCATTCACAGGAAGAACGAGGAATCCTGCAGCTGATGATCTGAACCCACAAAGTGCTGATCTCTGGATTGTATGAAGAGCCAGAAGACACTGAAACAGACCAAAGAACTGCAGCAAGCATTCCAAGATGCTCCATGGGAAAAAAAAACAAAACACAACATTGTCATATAAAGAAGAGAGAACCAGCGCAGAAAGAAACATGACCTCTTGTATTACTTAATTTTACATGTGAGCTAAAAATCATTCACATATTTACAGCGTTCTGATCATTTCTTACAGTTATCTCAGAGTACCAAACAGTTTTCTCCTGAATTAACTGTTACTGCATCGTCACTTTGAGATCTTGTCAGAGGGTCACTTTACTCTGCCTCGACTGAAACACGCAAACCAGAATAAATACAGTTATCACAAAAGTAGAAAAATATAAGTTTGGATATTCACAACATTAACAGTTATGGTCTCTCTTTGGTTTGTCCCAATAAGAAAAAAAAGTTTTCAGAAGTAGGAACATCAGCATGATCATTACATGGTACCAAACATAAATATGAGCTCCACAAACCAATAAACACATACATCACTAAGTTCTAGAAAACGCTTTATGCTGCTCGTTGCTCCATAATAAGTGTTGTCTTATTTATTATATAAAAAGCAAGAAAATCTAATGTGGTAAAAATCAAGGTTGGTTTAAACTAATGCCTCTATATCACACAGTACTGATGATAACTGAGTATTGGTGCCGGCACTGGACTCAATATTTTCATCTGATCATCAGGAGAAAACTGTTTTTCATGAAAACATCCAGCAGCTCCTCCCTGATCATCACCTGACTGACGCCTGCTTCACCATATTTCAAACTGCTTGTGCTTCTTAAAGGCTGCTCGGTCCACGATGTTGTTGCTGAAGAGTCTGGAAAAAACACAAAGGAGAAAGCAGATGTCATCATTCAGGAAGAACAGCATCAGTGATTTCTCTGTGAGCCTCTGAGCATTCCTGAACTGACTGATGAACGTTTGCTCACCGCACAGCGTCGATGGACGAGTTCATGGAGACCAGCTGCAGTAACACATCTGTCGACGCATCTGTGATCTTGTTGTGACTCAGACTGCAACACAAACACAACAAGTCACAGTCATTTATCACTCTGCTTTATCTGATCATATATTATGTTGAGAGAATGTAAAAGTGCCCAGATCAGTAAATCAAAAGGATGAAAAATAAAATAAAGGTTTCGTCAGTCTTTATGAAACAACTTCCTGTAAACACAGCCTCAGTGTGCAGATATAAGTTTCCTCTAAAACAAGTTCATAAGTTGGTTCACATCATGTTCTCTCTCCTGGGTTGCAAACACATCATCATCTGCCAATAAAGGTGTGTTTGGGTTCATATATAACACTGTGAGTCTGGAATATACTTTATTTGAAACCCTCTGAACCCTGAAACCTGCTGCTGGGTTTGACAAACATTACACCATTTATCAGAGCCAGTAAGTGTAAACAACTGTGAGGGTTATGGACTTGTTTTAGATGTGTTTTGTGGATTCCTGTTTTCTGTGTGTTTGGCTGGCGTGTTTTTCACTTTCAGGCTGGGCAGAGCCGATTGGAGGAGGACGCTCTTGCGCCGGCACAGCCGCGGCTCATCAGCTCAATCAGCAGAATCCTAAAAGCCACTGCTTCACGAGACTCCGGTGCCAGATGATTGTGAACCCCA